AACGTGATTAGATGTTTTTTTCATTCTATCTGACTCAACATTTGTTTTTAGTAGGCTGCCTGACTCCTACATGTACATTTTGTTTTGTGATCTCGAGATATTAATAAGATAAATGAATTATTTTTTTCCAGAAAATCCTTGTTAGAACGCAGGTCAGTAATTAGTAATGGACTTTTCAAAAAAAAAAAAAAATGCAATCTGTGTTGGAAATGAAGAGAGTTTTGTATAAAAAGAATGAGAGAAATATGCATGTAAGAAACTTCTGTAAAGAAGTAAAAATAGGACAATTCACTTTTTTAAAAGATGTATCTATATATGGGTGGTATAAAGGTCAATGACATTGACCTTGGTTCCTCACAACACAAACATATTTCCGGAATTACTCTTCTTTGTTGACATGTTATATACATTTTCTTATTTTAAGATATCAATCGGGTGGCATTTCATGGAACAATCCACAATGCGGTGATTTTAAATTGTACATCAATATATATGTAGCATTTAAGCGACAGTAACAGATCCTTTCAGAAGCAAGAAGTATACCAATTAATGGACCACAGAATATTTGAAAATCTAGAGATGTAGAGGTAATGTACGTGATTTTTTTGCGAAGAAACAAAATTGGAAATCCGGGTCAATTTTTTTTATACCAACAGCAAGTTAGGTGTTTATTTTTTTTTGGGGGGGGGGGGGTGTTTGTTTGTTTGTTTCTTTTTTTTTAGGGGGGAGGGGTGTTGTATTTGTGAATTTTAAAATCAGTAAGTTGCATACCAACAAAATTTTTAAAGCTATACAAGAAGCTTTGCATTTAAAAACGTTCTTTTACATGTATCAACGAACATTGAAATCGATATTTCTTAACAAAAGTGTTCAATGAGCAGTACAAAAATATATCTTTTTAATAAATACACTGTACACTTGTAGAGAGTCAATGTGTATTTCACTTGTACATACCTGAGCACTGTTTAGCATAAATATTGCCTCTTACATGTTTTATACATGTTATATTTCCGCCATGTATCCCTTGCAAAACATGCCGCATACTACAGTTTATGTATCGATTAGGGCTTTGCTGCAAATGAAGAAGGTCGTATCCTTTAGCCGAGTCGTTAAAACGCTTTGTTTACAGTGAACCTGTTAATTAAATTGTTAAACGTTGGCAGTTAAATGTACATGAAGCTATGATGATAGGGCAGAAAATGCTGACTTGCAAAAATGTGTATTTAAATGCGTAATTCGTCGGACTTAACCAATTTAACCAGATTTTAATTAAATACACACTCATTAGGGCCAGATCATTTAATGATAGTGATCAAAATATGCATTACATTCTTTTTAAAAGAATGTGGATAAAGTTGCAAGGAAATAAGATTCATTGCGTCTCTTGAATAGTTATCATAATTTACATAGCTGTTTTCTTTTTTTCATTTTTTGAAGGAATGCATTGCTTTTCTTTTCTTTTTTTAAATAAAAAAATTGAAAGTGATATTTTGTTTTAAATCGGTTTGTATTGTCAAATTATCTGCTAATTTTTATCTAATTATGCCTATCAATCCGTGGTCAGTCAAATTCAAAAGACAACAGATATACCCTCATCATTTGTATGTATTAATGTATAGGCGATTTATCTCCCTACTGGCCACGTAGAAAACAAATCTCTTGATATGAAAATCATTTGCAAAATTATTTTATCAAAAATATTATACACACAAGTATTTAGAAGCTGTTTCTGATTGCCATTATATATGGTGTTTGGAGACCAGGTCGTTCAACAATCTGTTGGAATTAATATTGGTACCAACTATTCTTGGACTTATATGAAGCAGAATTCATTCAACATTGTATACATGAGAAAAAGAAACTACTTTCTTTGGTCTTTAAATTTACATTTAGATATATTGTCGAGATTATATCAAGAATACTTATTTCCCATTATAAATTGATGCGATATATCCCAATGAGCTTAAAATTAAAGATACCACAGTCTAACACAACAGTTTTATACCTGGATATTTTAGTAGTAAAAGATGTTAATTAAGAATAATATAACAATACAATTTTATGATAAACCTGATGGCTTCAACTTTTCAATCGTCAAGAAACTTTCCTTTCATCACCAGCAATATACCCTTTTCACCTGCATACGGGTTTATGTCATCCAGTTAATACGATTCACAAGAGCATGTTTTATGTATGGACAATTTCTAAAACGCGGTTAGTTACTGACAAATAACTTAATGAAACAAGACTATCAACAATCTCGACTCGTTTAAAGTCATTTTCAAATATCCATGATCGATACAATGTGCTAGTCAGCAAAAACAATCTATCATTAAGTCAAATACTGATTGACGTTTTTATACTATTTTAGACCATGATTTGCATATTGATTGTCGACAGATTTTTCTGATATTTATCGATCATGACCAGGAGAACTCGGCGGGTATGACCTGTCGGCAAGGGATGCTCAGCCCTCCATAATACCCGGTCCTACCTCTGATGTTTTAGAGGTCCGTTTTTGTTTTGCTCCTACTTTGCATTGTTTAAAATGACATTTAAATACTGTTTTTTATATCCATATATTTCAATAACTCCCTTAACTCTGAAAAATATTTGAGAAATTTCTTACCGCAAAAATTCTTTACCAGTAGAGATTGGAAGATGGCATGGTATACAACTGTGTAATAGAATCTGTAACATTTCAAATGATGCTCAAACTGCTGATGAATTTCATTTTATCTTCGAAGATAAAACTTCAGCTAATGCAAGAAAAAATACATGGAGAATAATTATAATTATTTCCACAGACCGAAAGTTATTAAATTCATGGAACTAATGTTAACTCAAATTGAAAAATTGCTTTTAAAAAGACTAAGTGTGTTGATCATTTAAAGCTATTTCTGTTCTTAGATACTTCATAAAGCATGAATTGATGAGAATTCCTTTCATAAAGAATCTAATAACCCCAAAAATTGGAAATTTGATTTTAAAAACCAAGCAGTTTAATATATATTTCCAAGTGTATGTTCTAAAATTGTTTTGTTTTGGTTTTTTTTCAGCAAGAATATGATATCTTGAACTATTGAAAACCATTGACCCTTACCTCGTTCAGTGTAAAAGTAAACGATGCAGTATACACAAACATTAAGATCATTTTTGCAAAATGAATTTTTGGGGCTTTTTTCATGATGAACGGACAGAATTATAATGTAACGTATTATGATATATGTTTACTTGTATTACTTACATGTGAGTTATTTTTCTTATTTTTTGGAATTACGGTTTGTTTGTTGTTGTTTTTTTTTTTCGTTTTTATTTCAGTTAATAACTGGAATATGACTGAACAAGCTTTTGAACAGATAGAGACTTGTTGTCCTAGAGAATCAATAAATTACAGGAAACATCGTGATTATGATCATATTACTTGTCTTTATATAGAAAATCTATCAAGAAAAATGTTCCCCGGTAATAATATGCTGCCAGTTTATGTCCTGTTCTTACTTTATGGTTAACAAGATATAGAACAAACATCATTGATACCATATATATATATAGATGTAGGGCTTTTGCCATGAAAAGAAAGTTTTATTATTGCAGTATTATTCATGATAAAGATTGATTTCTTTACTAATTAAAATGCAATGTTGTTAGTATCAGTATCAAAGAGACATAACTCAAATGATATAACAGCCACTTTCGGACGTCTAAACAGAAACAGAACGGTAGGTTGTCTCCCTAGGTTTATGTTTCACTGTTCTAGATAGTCTTAACTAATGTGTTCTCTAATCTCTAAACAATAAAAACATGATAATCCTGATATACTTTTATTAGGTTACTATTTTCTTCAAGGTATTTCTTCAAAATCAGAAAAGCTGAATGAACTGAAAATATATTTGTTGCTGAAAATAAAAATAAAAAAATGCGGTTTACCAGAATACATCCTTAAGGCTGTGTCACACTGTCATGATTTATGCTACGATTACCCACGAATCAAAAAAAAGGTTGAAAATCGCCGTTCATCGCCAGGTTAGTCTTGCGGTCTCTACACAGCCTGTGGAATATTTTGCTTCTAGATCGGCGTGTCTACGATGTCTGTGCGACAAAGTACCAGGTTTGTACGATTTAAGTACGAACTGAGGCGACGGCATTACGAACTGTTTGCGATATTTCTACGGTTATAAAGGATTTAACGCGGTTACATACGAAACTCGTACGAAGGACTTCGATATGCCACGTTACATACACGATATTCCTACGACTAATGGCGATTTCTTAAGAATATACATGTAATCATGGAATGCATATATAGAGTAAAGGGAGATTTGTCTGAAATCACTAAACATCATAGTTATGTTATTTGATCATGCTAAAAAACTACAGTGTGGAGCTTTTGATTATGTTCAATCTCTTCATGAGTTTATTGTACACGGTTTTTATAGTTTCTGTTACACTTGTAATTTCAGTTTATTCCACTTTTCTAAGCTTCTTTCCTTTTATTTTAGGCATTATTTTGATTTCGACAGTGTTAACATCAGACAACATCTGCCTACTTTGTATTAACTAGTATTTCAATCGCACAGTTCTTGTACAGCACTTGCCATCAATCGTCCTATAGATAAAATATTTTTCGTATCATATTCGCGGGAAAGTCGCCCTATGTTCCTATCAATTCGAAGAACACTCGCAGTATCTCGTAAGACACTCGCAGTATCTAGTAAGACACTCGCAGTAACTCGAGAGACACTCGTGCAAACTCGAAGGACACTCGTAGTAACTTGTAGGACTCTCGGAGTGTCGCTAGTTCTACAAAGTTCCGCGATTGTCGCACGAACTTTGAAAATTTACTACAAATATGTGTACAAGTGCAGTGCGGATGCTGTCAGATTGTGTACGAATAATTAAGAATCGTACTGTGTCCACGATTGTTTTATACATACTCAAATTAATCGCAAAGTTTGGCCATTTGCTGCGATCCAACACGATTAAGGAAGATATCCTACGAGTATTTCTGCGATAAATCCCGATTTGCTGCGATTATTGAATTTGTAAAGAATCGTAGCTATAAAACATGACAGTGTGACAGGGGCTTAATGAACAAAATATTCCATGTTATTTTAAAATTTTTACCTGAAAAGAAAAAAAAAGTTTGCTTTGGCCTTTAACTCGACATTTAGATATATCGGCGACGTATTGTCAATCAACTTTATAATTATTTCCACTCTTATGTACACACGATATAACCCGGTGAGCTTGAAATAAAATATATCACAGGGTAAGGGTTTTATCTGTTTCATATTTGGATATTGTATTAGAAAAAAGACGTCAATCCTCAACAAAGCAACAAATAATAACAACGCTTTATAATAAAAGTTTAACTTTATAATCGTCAACTTCCCATACTTATGGAGCAATTTATCTTTCTCACCTGCATATGTTTATAGAGTTTATATCTCTCGGTTGATTCGATACGGAATTTCTAAAACGAGGTAAATTATTGACACAGGACCTCCGTTTTAAGGTCTTATCCGAAGGACCAATAAGATACATTTGAGAGGGCCAAGTGCTTGGTGAAGGAACAGTATATTCTTATCGACTTATAATTAGTCGAGGCCGTGGCTCGAACCTGCAACTTTTGGATCACAAAAGTCTCTACCGATAAACGATCGTTGACATAAATTATAAAATAACGTTTTATCCATGTTTGCCATTGTTTCATTCAAAATGGAACTAATTATTACATCTAGCTAAGGTTGATAAAATGCACGTTGACGATGCAGCAGCTCAAAATGATGTGGTACTTTTCGATGTACAGCATTGTTTTCCTCCTGAAATTATTTTTAACAATTATATCGATTTATTTGCAAAGGTACATAAAAGGTTTGTATCCGGGAAATCAAAATCAAAAATTAAATTCACACTTGACTAAAACTTTTTAAAACTGTCAACTGTCAGTATCACTCAACGGAACAACTCTAATTTCCTGAATTTGTAAAGGTGTTAATTCGTTTAATTGATCCGTCTTTTGATCGGTATGTGTAAGCAGCTTTCCTCTGGATCTGGATGTAACGTTTTCTAGTTCAAGCCCAGATGAATCTTCAATTGTTTTAGGGGATATATCATCATTCAATGTATATTTGTCCATAAATAGACTTTCAACACTAGTTTTACTAAGAAAAGTTTTGTTGCCAAAATCTTGAGATCCTTGATGCAGTTGTGTTGTGTTTCCGTTTTCAATAATAACAGTGAAGGAACCTGAAAAGTATGCTGATCCGGAAAGAAAACGGCTTTCCTTAAAGTCCACAAAGGAAGCGGTCTTTTCAACGTTGTCTGTAGCCTTGTGCCATAGAGATGCGCAGAGACTTACAAATGCACCTAGAACACATATTGACCCTGGAAAAAATAGATTTTTAAAAAAGTCCATTTTGATCTATCCATTCAATAGAAATGAGGACAAAACGTAGTGTTTCAAAATTCAATTATTTGTAGAATTTTATTAAAAAAACTCTAGGCTTTATTTAAATTATCAAAAGAATTTCATTCAATGGAAACAACATATTACCTGATATGAAAAACACGCCTTCATATGACACATTGTTATCAATTAAAAATCCTGTAAAGAGATAAATAAAAATATTTTACTGAACTGAAGATTTGCTTATCTTTGTCATTTTAAAAGTTTCTATCATAATTTAGGCAAAGATATCACACAAAACATTTATATGTACCTGCAAATGGTCCTCCTAATATCCACGCAATCCCTGCCCAGGTAAAATATAGTCCCACAGCTGTTGATAGTTGAGATATACCCACTATTTCTATACACAGAGGATTAATTAATACAATTAGGCCTCCGCTGTAAATCCCTGTTATAAGAGAGTATATGTTTTGACCAATATAATCCGTACAATAAAGTGGAAATGTAGCTGTCGTCAGACCAAATATTCCAAGAAATCCAAAGTTAAGAAGCAAAGGGTCTATTCCACCCGGTCCTAAAACCATTCCAGCTAGAAATCTGTTAAGAGTACTCCCGACCCCGATCATTGTGATCAGTGAGGCTGCTTGCATATCTGTAGCACCATTGACAACTGAAAACCGCGGTAAATGAATGAACAAAATGGCGTATGGAACATTCCATAAAAATGAACAGGTCAAAATACAAAGAAACGGCTTATTTTTAAGTATATCACAACGAAAGTTGCACATTTTACTATTTTCTGAGGTGGTTTTACTAGAATGCTTGTACGACATTTCTATTTTTGTTGGCCTCATCAAAGCGCCAAATACAATATTTTGACCTCCAAAGGCCCCTAAGATGAGCAAAGCTCCTCGGAGCCCATACTGATCAATCAGATATTGGATGAAAGGACCTGCTGCAAACATCCCTAGTCCTGCACCCGCCACATTCAAACCAACAGCGATTCCACGATATTTCTCAAAGGAATATCCCACTACGATAACAGCTGTTATTGCGCTAAAACCAAGTCCAGTTCCTATGAAAAATAAAATTATTTAAGATCAGAAATGGTAGGTAAAACTTTTATAATGATTATTGAATAGCCTATAAATATAAAAATATCCCTCCTTTACGTTAAACTACTAGTTATAAATTTTCATTCAATTTAACTTCGTACATTTATATAACTAAACGATCAATTGAATCACTATACATATTTATTTCATCAAGGATTTTGAAAGAAGGTAGCAAAATAACTTACATTTCTTACCTGCAATAACTCCAAACGTGAATATTAAAGTTATTAGATTTGGAGCAAAGTAGCTTGAACAGAGCCCAGTAAATATACAAACACCCGATATAATGTCTGCCACTCTACAGCTCCACTTATTGATGACAAAGCTCACTAGAGGCCCTAAATATAAATTTCTGTGATTAAAAGTCAATATATTAATGATAAACTTTTTTGTCACATTTAAACAAAACTCTCTCTCTCTCTCTCTCTCTCTCTCTCTCTCTCTCTCTCTCTCTCTCTCTCTCTCTCTGCAAAAATTACCTAAAAGACTAAGCAGACTAGCAAACACAGATCCCACCAGTGATGTCAATGTTAAATCCCCTTGAAATTCATTTAGGAATGCGTTGTGAAACACTCCAACCCCGTAACTCAACACCCCGGTAACGAACTGAGTGCAGAATGCCGCCAACATGACCACCCAGGCCCATCCGTTATCGACATCCTGCATCTGAAATTATTATTTATTATGTTATTAAAGTTTTTAATTTTTAACGCCAACTTTTTTGCTTGTAATGTAAATGTATATATGTTTTAAAATTTATTCTGTTTTTTCGTACACTATTTTGACATGTAACATGGGACATGGGAGATCATTATACAACTTTGTTAAGTAAAAGAATATTTGTATATGGTTTTCGGATCTCCCCTTCTATTGTATTGTTAATACTCATTGTCACTTTCAATAAATGACAATTCAAATAAATCTTGTGTTGTGATATTTTATCCAAGAAGAAAGCTGCAGGTATGTTTGAATCTTTATCATTTTTTAACAACATGTATGACCTAATTATGAATCTATAGAAAAGCTTTTGCTCAGGTTGAAATTCAGCTGTTTGAGTAGAAAAAGGACAAAATCAATGTTACTGGATTTTAATGCCAGAGCCTTTCGAAAACATCGTCAGCAAATATAAACTAGCCATCATAAAGTCAACTGCGGAATGACGATTTTCATACAAATTGTTAGACTATTATTTATGTACCGAACTCTCTTAGAGGTTTATTTTTGCTTTTTTGTTATGATTATGACAAGGAGTAAATGTTGGGTATGACCATTCCAGGGGATGCTCACTTCCCAATGCCACCTGATCTCACTCTATTTAATGCCTTAGAAGTCCTTGATTACTCTGCTACTTATTTCTATTGTTTGAAAAGATTCTTTGAGCTTGAATACTGTTCGTTACCATCATATTTCAGAGAATTGTTTTCTCTCCAGTGTTAAACACCAGGATATAAAAAGCGATTCTTTCTCTATAAAGTTAAAATGGCAGATAATGAGTCGAGTGATCTAAAACCAGTGTGTCTGAATTGGGGTTATCAACTTTCAAAGATTTTATGGATAAATGGAGAGGAAACATTTTTGAGTTATTTTTTTCTTTCCATGTCCTTTTATACATTAAATCTAGATTACATATGTATCGTGTTTAGTTAATTATAATCAACATAACTACAGTACAGCTCACGAGTTTTCCGCATAAAACACGGGGCACCGTGGACCGAGAACCCACGCTTTAGCGTGGGCCTTGAAAATAGTCGGCACCTTTGAAGTAGCGGTTTCAGCGCTCCGTGTAGCACGGTGTGTCCACGGTGCACCACGGTGTGTCCACAGAGTGTTGCGGTGTGTCTCCACCGTGTCGCACGGAGTTTATGACCAAGAAATCTTACTATTTTTTAAACTCACGAACATGTGTTACAAATTATAGTTTTATTTTAATATCCGATGTCAGCTAGCTTTGCGTGGCTTTTTTTTTCCCTTGACGTCATTCCATTTTCCTCGCCTTAAAGTAATAAATAAATCGCCTAGCAGTGTCAAGACTGAATAATCCTATTTTTGCAACTCATTTTCAGATGCTTTTAATGCATCCAAAGTATGTTTTCGTGACAGGAAATCGCTTCAAACTTGAACGCACACAGCCAACTGGTCAGGTAACATGCCTTAGGCTGTTTATGGATTATAGTGAAGTCTGAGTCTATTAAATAAATATATTACGTGAACACATCATTGTATTGCATTGATTATGCAAAAGGTGGTCTATAATAAAGTAGTTTAAATCAAGATCATTTTATATTCGATGATAAAAGTTAAAAAAAAAAAGTTAAAACAAATGTTAATTTTTTCTGTTTTATCTTTGTTTCTGTTTTTTTATGTGTATGTAAGGGTGTGTGTGTGTGAGTGTAAGATTATTTTTTTCAAATTAATTTTTTTTGATACCTCCCCCCTAATTACTTCTGAAATATACAAACACAAATCTGGAAAATATCCATACCCAAAACCAATAATAATTCTTGCGTATGTAATTCCTAGAATCACATATTTAATCTCTTACACTGTTACTGTCCGCATTATTCTTTTGAAATAATGTACATCTTTTAGCTGATTCTCGAATCTGGATTTTCTGGAACCCCACCTGAAAGTGTTATTTTAATTCAAATATATGTAAAACTATGACCTTTTATATAATCATCATTTGTCTAATGCATACTCCTGAAACAAAACTTTGATAGAAATTAATATCAATGTTCTTTCCAATTAGAGTATCGGTAGACGTTCACATGGATCTAGTTTCTTTTCAAATTAAAATGGGGGGGGGGGGGTACGTGCGAATTAAATGTAGAACGATGAACACGTCCTTATTTATTTTACTTAAGTAGAACACACAATTTATACTGTCGTGTTTAGTTTGTACTCATTTTTATCTGTTTAGGAAAAAAAATTAATAAATATAATTAAAGTAAACATAATAAATTAACTTAATAAATCGACATTTCATAGCTTTGTTCGGTATCGAAACCAGTATCATGATTTTACAGTAACACTGTGCTTCTTATTCGTCAAAAATTATTCAAGTCGTTTAGCTGGTATCCAGCCGAATTACATAATCATTCAACATACAATCGTAAACTTGGTGAAGCACCTGTGTTTAAAAGAAATTGTCTGAGGCGATCCGAGTGTGTACGGTAGCGGGTAAAGAGGACAATAGGTGTCACTGCAGCATTACACAGAAGACCATTCGCCGGATTTCACTGGAAGTTAGTTACGCAACATTACGGCGACAGGTAGACTCTTCTTCAAGACAGACTGAATTTGAGAAATTCAACACCAACACATCCGTAATATGCAATCTACAAACCTTCAACTTCTTCTTACATTAAATAAATATATTTTTTTAATATACCGACGTAAGAAAAAATTAACTATTAATGAAAAAAGAAGATTGATGTAAAAACCAACCGGGGAAAGGCACAAATTGTTTAAAGATGTAAGCAAAAATAAATATGAGAAGGGATACATTACATCCAAAGTTTTGTAAAAATTACTGATTCCTTATATTTTTTGTCAAGTCGTGATAGTGTGTGTGTGGTGGGACAGTTGAGTGAGGAACTTGTTTGATTATCAAATCAAGTAAAAAATATTTCATAGTTTATTTCCTCAACTTTTTATCAATAATTAAGAATAAAAATCAAACAAAATTTATATGCAGAATATTATGACAGTAAAAAAAAACAGCTGGAGTTTAAATATATTTTAAACTTTGCCTTGGTCGATATTGATTTTTTGGAGAGAGAGAGAAGAGAGAAAAAGAAAGAGAGGAGTGAGCGAAAGAGAGAGATGGATGGTTACTCAACACGGAAGATAATGGGCACCTACAGTTAGCGAATAATCTTACTCTTATGAAAAGGAAAGATGTTAATGAAACATAAATCAAATTAATAATGATTACTTGTATAAATTGATCAAATGGACAAAGAAATTTGCATCATTCACAAAACTTGCACATTTTTATAAAATTCATATTTAAGTACCGGTGTACTATATACTTTTTCGTGTAACGTGTGTGTAAGGGGGGGGGGGTTATACATGTATGCTAGAGGGTTCGGAATAAATATTTTTGAGCACTGGTTCGACTGACTAATGACTTCCAATTTCACTACTTCGTAAAATAGTTTACCAGACAAGTCCACCCTCTACCTTTTTATTACGTTAACATCATAACACCCCCTACGCATACCTCCTTTAATGAGATGAAATTTAATTTCAGCACATAAAATTAAATTAATTCCAATTCACCGATAGCTACAGGAGGAAATTGGAAGTTATGAAACATGTTATATTTTTGTTAAAATTGAATCATGATTAAAAAAATACTTTAAAATTAAGTTCAAAAACTAATAAATAGTGATCCAACCCCCTCGGCAAATTGAATGTGAATTTAAGAGAGAGAGAGAGAAGAAAAATATTGGAGAAAAATGGTGCTACTGTTAATATTAGTCTTACCGCTGACCTAGTAAATATAAATATTTTACTTAAGATTACTATAATTGCTATAGTGCATGAATTTTTATTACTAGTCTGATAATTATTTATTAGTCTCGGACTTACAGATATCGAGTACTTATGAACCCTGCGTCATCGATCAACCAACCATTCATTTAGATATAATGTTTTAAGTGACAAAATTAACAAGGCATAGTACAAGTTTAGATATTGAGCACTGCACTGTTCAATAGGGGAACTCCAGTATGAGCAAATGAAACCGGAAATCTTAAACAGGGGTAACAGGGGTAGCGGACAGTATATAGGGAACTTATATATAGTGAGCTAGCTTTTCTGGTGATGCGGTAGAGTCTCCCTCTATTTCAGGCAAGTTAAGCAACGGCAAGCCTGTTTAACCCTTGGATGGATGACAGCTTCACGTAACATTAATTATATGACTTGTACAGATATGATTAATTAATTTTAATTCTTTAATTGAACCGGGATAGATATATTCAACACATAAATTTAAACTTGATTTACGCATAGTTAATTTCAATTCATATTCTGAATTATTTTAAAGATAATACTAATATTCAGATTAAAAAAATAATTGCCAGGGATTTTTTTTTCAAGCATTAAAATAAGACTGTTTTTAAATACAAAGTACAACACATAGTCATTTTCACACCACTGCAACCTCCCCGAGAGCGAAAACAATAGGGACAGTAATTATCAAAAAAGTACATTTCCAAACATGAAAATTCTGCTTTTATTTCTGAGGGGGGGGGGGGGGCTAAACTTACGAAGCAATATTCAATGTCTCTTCTAAGTATGTATATTTTGGGAAAAAAGTGGGGGGACCCCCCCCCCCCCCCCGGTTCCGACGCCTATGTCATATTTTCATAATCGACCAAAAAAAAAACTTGCAACTAATGCATGGTCAAACACTGATTCACAACCAACGAATACTCAGTGAGATATTTTAGTAGTAATGTTTTAATATTTTCCTGCGTAAGGTGTTTATTAAATACATGTATACAGCATAGGTGTCGGGACCTGGGGCTAAGAGTGGGAAGGTCATGGCCAAGAGGAAATAACAGTATTCCTTTTGTGGTCTTAGATTTTTTGCGTTTATTCCTTGTTTATGTGGACTTTTTGTATGTAGATTATGATTATTTACTTCAATGTATTTT